GGGGTCCTGACCCACGTAGTGGTCGATGTCCAGCTGCAGGAAGGTCAGCGTGGCCGGGGGCTCGGGGGGAGGGGCCGGGCGGCGCCACTTGGGGGGCACCTCCCCCACAAAGAGAGAGCCTGGGGGGAAAAGAGAGAAAAACGGTAAAAACAGAGAAAAAACAGAGAGAATTGGTGAAAAATGATAAAAACAGAGATAAAACAGACAGAACTGGTTAAAAATGATAAAAAACAGAGAAAAACAGAGAGAATTGGTGAAAAATGATAAAAACAGAGATAAAAACAGACAGAATTGGTTAAAAATGATAAAAAACAGAGAAAATCGGGTAAAAATGAAAAACAAAACAGAGAAAAATATCAAAAACCAGCCAGAATTGGTTAAAAATGTACAAAAACCAGAGAAAATCGGGAAAAGGATTAAAAAACAGAGAGAAAATAGGGTAAAAATGTTAAAAAACAGGGAAAATCGGGTAAATGTTAAAAACAAGAAAGAAAATCGGGTAAAGAAATGATCAAAAAGAGAGAAAGTCGGGAAAAGTGTTAAAAAGAAACAGAGAAAATCGGGTAAAAGTGTTAAAAATCAGACAAAAACAAACAAAAAATGGTCAAAAAGAGAGAAAATCGATTAAAAGTGTCCAAAACCAGAGAAAATCGGTTAAAATGTACAAAAAACAGGCAAAAACATCCAAAATCAGGCAAAACCACCTAAAACCCAGCCAAAACCCCCCTAAAATCCCCCAAACCCCCCCAAAAAAAAACCATAAAGCCCCCCAAAATTAAAATTAAAAAATCCCTCAAAACAAACCCCAAAATTCGCGCAAAAAAAATCCGCAAAATTAAAAAAAAAATTAAAAATCCCCCCAAAAATTCCCTCAAAATAAACCCCAAAAATCCCAGAAAAAAAAAACCACCAAAATATCCCAAAAATTTAAAAATAAATAAATAAATAAAATAAAATAGAATCCCCAAAAAATCACCAAAAATCCCCCCCAAAAAATTAAAATAAAAATAGAAAATAAAAAATGAATCCCCGATCTCACCGCTGGGCTGGCTCTGGGGGTCTGGGGGCGGCCCCTCCCCCACTCCCAGTTCCTCCTCCATCTCCTCCAGTTCTCCCAGTTGTGCCAATTCCTCCTCGAACTGGGAGGGTCCTTTGGGACCCCCCCGGAATTTTTTGGGGCCCCCGGGGGGACCCCCGGGAGTTCCCGGGCGCTTCGGAGCCTCCATGGACCTGGGAAAACAAACAAACAAAAAAAAAATTAAAAAAAAGGGGGAAAAATTGGGAATTTTGGGGATTTTTGAGAGGTTGGGAACCCCCCCAACCTCCCTCAAGAATCGTAAAAAATTCGCGAATTTCGCCTCAAAATCCCCCAAAATTTTCCCCCAAATCTTTTTTTAAAATCAAAAAAATTTCCAAATTAAGGCACGAATTTCCCCACAAAATTCCCCAATTTTCCGTCAAATCCCTCCACGAAATTCCCAAATTTCCCCGCAAATCTTCCACAAAATCCTCTCCAGAACCGCCCAAAAATCTCCCCAAAACTCCCGAATTTTTCCCCAAAATCCCCTCAGGGATCCCAAAATCCCCTCAGGGATCCCAAAATCCTCTCAGAGATCCCAAAATTCCCTCAGGGATCCCAAATCCCCTCAGAGACCCAAAAATCCCCTCAGGGATCCTCAAATTCCTTCAAGGACCCCAAAATTCCCTCAGAGAACCCAAAATTCTCTCAGGGATTTCAAAATCCCCCTCAGGGATCCCAAAATTCCCTCCGGGACCCCCAAAATCCTCTCAGAGACCCCAAAATCCACTCAGAAATCCCAAATTCCCTTCAGGAATCCCAAAATCCCCTCAGAGACCCCAAATTCCCCTCAGGGATCCCAAAATTCCCTCAGAGACCCCAAATTCCCCTCAGGGATCCCAAATCCCCTCAGAGCCCCCCCCCTCCCCTCACGTCCCCTCACGATTCCCGCGCCGCCTCCGCCGCCCTCATTTCCCATAAAATCCCCCCAAAACTCCGCGGGGATCCGACGAGATCCCATTAAACCTCCTAAAGATCCCATAAAATCCCAAAATTCCGATAAAAAAACCCCAAATTCCCCAAATTTCCCCTCACGGAGCCTCCGGCCGCCCTCACCCAGCTGAGGATCTCCCGCCAAAGGCGAGTCCGCCCCGGACACGCGCTCTGATTGGCTGGGTTTGACCCACGTGACTTGCCGCTTCCGTGTTGTGGGCGCTCAATCCGTAATACTGGAACCGCCATGTTGAGAAGGGAAACCGGAAGTTCCAGCCTGTGGGCCGCCATGTTGAGAAGGGAAAACCGGAAGCCGCGGCCATATTGAGTGAACCGGAAGTGTCTCCTGGGCGCCGCCATATTGAGTGTGGCCCCCTATTCCCCGCTCCCCTCATGCAAAATTTGGGATAAAATTCCCGAATATCCCAAAATTCCAGGGTTTATTCCCCTTCCCACCCCCAAAAAAAACCCAGAGAGACTTTTTAAACTTTTAATTTTTTATTGGCAGGAACTTCCCCAGTTCCCCCCACTTTCAAACGTTGGGCGGAGTCACCTGGAAAAGAAATTTAAAAAGGGTTAATTCCACCCAGAAATTCATTTTAAAAAAATCCGAAATTTAAATTTTTGGGGCCCCCTCAGACCCTCCCCGAGTGGGGGAGGGGCACAGGAATCCATCAGGGGGGGTCAGAGCCCAGTGCTGCCATCATGGGGGGCCCCACCCCAAAAAAAAGTGCCAAAATATCCCATTTTAACCCCCCAAAAAACCCCAAAACATCCCTTTTTAACCCCCAAAAAAACCCCAAAATATCCCATTTTAACCCCTATGAAATCCCATTTAAATCCCAAAAATCCACATTTTAACCCCCAAAAATTCCCATTTAAACCCCAAAAAATCCACGATTTAACCCCAAAAATCCCATTTTAACCCCCAAAAAATGCCCATTTTAACCCCCCAAAAATCCTTTTAACCCCAAAAAATCCCCCAAAAATCACATTTTACCCCTAAAAAATCCACATTTTAACCCCAAAAATGCCCATTTTAACCCCCCAAAAAATCCCTTTTTAACCCTAAATAATCCCCCCAAAAATCCCATTTTACCCCTAAAAAATCCACACTTTAACCCCCAAAAAATCCCATTTAAATCCAAAAAAAAATCCCATTTTAACGCCAAAAAATGCCCATTTTAACCCCAAAAAATTCCCATTTTAATCCAAAAAAATCCCATTTTAACCTCAAAAAATGCCCATTTTAACCCAAAAAAATCCCGAAAAAAATTCCCATTTTCCCCCTCGCCTCCCCTGCACTCACACGGTTTTTTGGCTCCCACCCCCGTTATTTTTTGGGGGATAATTCTCAATCCTCCTCCTCATCCTCGGCTCCCCCCGCCCCTCCCTGGCCCTTCTTGGCGTTTTTCCTCTTGACGCGCCCGGGGCGGCCGCCGCCGTAGGGGGAGCGCAGCGAGAAGTCGATGTGTTTCTGCGAGTCCAGGCGCACGATGAACGACGGGATGTTCACCACCTGCTTCCTCACCCTGGAATCCCCAAATTCCCAAAAAAAACCCCGAGTCAAAACTCCAAAATTTGGGTTTTTTACGGCAAAAAATTCGGGCTTCGTACGGCGCGAAATTCGCTTTTTTTCGGAGAGAAAATCGCGTTTTCGCAGCACAAAGTTTGGGGTTTTTGGAGGGATTTTAAGAGGAAAAGAGACTCAAAAGAACAAAAGGTTGAGGATGGAAAATCCCAAAAATTTGGGAATTTTCCCCAAAATTTTGGAGTTCAAATCCCAAAATTTGGGATTTTTTACGGCACAAAAATCGCTTTTTTCAGAGCTAAAATCGCTTTTCTGCAGCACGAAATTCGTGGGTTTTGGAGATTTTAAGAGGAAAAGAGACTTAAAAGAGGAAAACGTTTAGGAAAGAGAATCCCAAAAATTTGGGAATTTTCCCCAAAATTTTGAAGTTAAAATCCCAAAATTTGGGATTTTTTACGGCACAAAAATCACTTTTTTCAGAGCTAAAATCGCGTTTTCGCAGCACAAAATTTGGGGTTTTTGGAGGGATTTTGAGAGGAAAAGAGACTTAAAAGAGGAAAACGTTTAGGAAAGAGAATCCCAAAAATTTGAGAATTTTCCTCAAAATTTTGGAGTTAAAATCCTAAAATTTGGATCTTTTACAGCAAAAAAAATCGCTTTTTTCAGAGGGAAAATCGCTTTTTCTTGGAGCTAAAATCGCTTTTTTTCACGGGAATTTTAAGAGGAAATTGAGATTAGAGAGAGGAAAAGGATTAAGAAGGAGAATCTTAAAAATTTGAGAAGTTTCCCCAAAATTTCAGACTTAAAATCCCAAAATTCGGGGTTTTAACCCCAGAATTTCGAGATGCAAATCCTCCAAACATTCCCAAATTTATGCACCAAGGTCTCCTCCACTGATTCCTGAATAAAATTTGGGTAAAAAACCCAAAAATTTGGGACAAAACGACCAAAAACTGCGCACCGAGAGCAGGGCGAAAATCTGCCGGGAAATCGCAAAAATTCGTGGAAAAATCCCAAAATTTGCGGGAAAATCCCAAAATTTGGGGCTTTAACCCCAGAATTCCACCCCGCACACCCCAAAAAACACCAATTTTGGGTTTTTACCTTTCCTTTCGTTCCCTGGAGCCGCCCTTCGCAAGGTGTACGGC